GAGGTGCAGTTGGTCCGAAGATGTCCAATGAGTCCAATTCGTGCCCGGAATGTCCGTTGACAACGAGGGCACGTTGGAAGCGGTTGTGCGTCGGCGTTGCGGACGGGGCGTAGCTGTGATTTGCTTGCTTCGCGTTTCACTTTGGCAGCGGCGATTCGGTCGGCCTCATAGATCGCAGCGCCTGTCTTCACTTTCCTCCTCCAAGTCGGTCGGTCGAGGGCGAGCTCTTCCCAGTTGGTCGGGATAATTTGCAGGCGCTTCAGGGAGGACTTCAGGGTATCCTTGTAACGGCGAATTTGGCCTCCTTTACGGCGAGAATCCGTCGCGACGTCTCCGTATAAGAGTCGTTTTGGTAGTCGCTCGTCGTCCATGCGCACCAGGTGGCCGCTCCAGCACAGCTGCATTTGTCTCAGCATGGTGTAGATGCTTAGGATTCCCGTCCGTTCCAGCACATCAGTGTCGGGGAATCGATCCTTCCAGTTCAGCCTCAGGTTGCGACGGAGACAACTGAGGTGAAAGTGGTTTAATTGACGTGCGTGCTTTGTGTACACTGTCCAAGTTTCCGCTCCGTACAGCAGCGTCGGCAGGATGGCGGCCTTGTACATCTTCAGCTTCGTGCTCAGCTGAAGACCGTGGCGATTCCAAATTGTGCTTTGGAGGCGACCGAAGGCTTGACTGGCTTTCGAGATCCTGTTGGCGACTTCGTCGTCGATCTTGGTGTTGCGGGAGAGGGAAGTGCCCGGGTACCGGAAGTTCTCCACCACTTGCAGTTGGGTTCCGTTCACACTGATTTGCGGCGCGTTGGGAGGAGTGGCTGTGTTGGGTGGCGGTTGGTGCATCACCACCGTCTTCTGCGTGTTAATGACCAGACCGAAGTTTTCGCAGGCGGCGGAGAACAGGTCCATGCTCCGTTGCATCTCCTCTTCCGAGGTGGTGTTCAGCGCGCAGTCGTCGGCGAAGAGAAGTTCGTGCACGGTGGCTGTGGATACACGCGATTGGAAGTTCATGCGCCGGTGATTCAGGAGATGACCGTCCGTTCTGTAGGCGATGCGGATCCCGGGGCGTTCGTTGCGGTAGGCGTCCATCAGCATGGCAGAGAACATAAGACTGAAGAGGGTTGGTGCCAGCACGCATCCCTGTTCCACTCCGTTGGTCACTGCGAATGCCTCTGAGACAGCTCCGTTGTCCGTGACTCGCGCCATCATACCGTCGTGCAGCTGACGCACCATCTGAGTGAATCGCTCCGGACAGCCGAATTTCTGCATGATCTTCCACAGTCCTTCACGATTCACCGTGTCGAAGGCTTTCGTCAGGTCCACGAAGGTAGAGTACAGGTGGGTCCGCATCTCCTGACACTTCTCCTGTAGTTAACGGGCGGCGAAGATCATATCCGTGGTCCCACGATGACGACGGAAGCCGCATTAGCTTTTAGGCAGAAGGCCCTGTTCGAGATGGTTATTGAGACGGTTGAGGAGGATTCGTGCGAAGATCTTCCCGGCGATGTTCAGCAAGGAGATGCCACGGTGATTGTCGCAGACTTGGTGGTTCCCTTTTCGCTTGTAGAGATGCACGATGGTTGCGTCTTTGAAATCTTGCGGGACTTCGCCTTGGCGCCACATCTCCTGGAAGAGCGCAGTCAGGTGATCCATCAGTTGGGGACCTCCGTGCTTGTAGACCTCAGCAGGGATTGCGTCCGATCCGGGTGCTTTCCCGCTGGAGAGCTGCTGCACGTCCCTGATGGTTTCCTGGAGAGATGGCGGGAGGTCGAGGTCCACGTTGGTCTGCACTTGCGGCAAACGGGCGATGGCGGCGTCGGAGATGGCGGAGGGGTGGCTGAGGACGCCTCGGAAATGCTCGGCCTATCTCTGTAGGATTTGCGTCTTCTCAGTCAGGAGAGTGTTGTCGTCGGCGCTGAGGAGAGGAGCAGTGTCCTTCGTTGGCGGACTGTAGACAGCTTTGATCGCGGAGAAGAATTTCTTCCATTCGTTGCAGTCCGCGTAGACCTGAATCTCCTCAGCTTTGCGAGCAGTCAAGGCGTCCTGCATCTCGCGCAGTCGTTGCTGAAGGTGGCGGCGACTGCGGTAAAAAGCAGCTTTGTTGTCCTCGGTGGGGTGACCTACGTAGGCTTTGTGTAGGCAGTTCTTCTCAGCAAGCAGATTTCTGACGGCGGCGTCGTTGTCGTCGAACTAGTCCTTGTGTTGGCGGGGAGCGCGACCGAGGACGGCTAGCGCCGTCGACTGGACCGTGTCTCGCAGTTGACACCAGGGGTTCTCCACGGAGGCGTTCTCGGCAGCGGCAGCATCGGTGGCGGCAGCGATAGGAAGGTGGTCCAGCCGTTGAGCTAGCTCATTGCTGAAATGGAGATGGTGAGCGGGCAAAGACAACAAGGCAATATTCAGCTTACCTGGGGGTCGCTTACCTTGTGGTCTCCTGCGAGGCTGTAGGCGAATACGCATCTTCGAGATGACGAGGCGATGGTCAGTCCACCTGTCGGCACCCGCAATCGACTTTGTCACCAGCACGTCCCGCTGATCTCGCCTCCGGACGAGGACATAGTCCAGCAGATGCCACTGACGCGACCGAGGATGCCTCCAGGTGGCTTTCTCTCGCTTCGGCAGACAGAAGAAGGTGCTCGTCAGGATGAGGCGGTGTTCTGCGCAGGTGCGGAGGAGAAGCAGGCCATTTTCGTTTGAGCCGCGGAGACCATGGGGACCCAGCACTCATCTCCAGGCAGTATGGTCTGTGCCGACTCGGGCGTTGAAGTCACCAAGGCCAACCAACTTGTCCGCCTTCGACACAGTCGCCATGAGGGCGTGCAGGTCCTCGTAGAATTTGTCTCTGACGGCGTCGGGGTTCGCCATCGTCGGAGCGTAGGCGTTGATGATGGTGGCGAATTTGCTTCCCCAGAGAGGTAGGCGGAGGTTCATCAGGCGATCGTTTATGCCCTGCGGCGGACTGAGCAATCGTCCCATGATGTCGTTCCGACTGGCGAAGGCGACACCCGCGTCTCATCGCTCTGGCCTGGGGCGACCGCTCCAGAAGAAGGTGTAGCCGGCACCTAACTCCTCCAATTGACCTTGTTCGGAGAATCGGGTCTCGTTGAGTGCGGCGATGTCCACCTTGTAGCACGCCATTTCCCGGGCCACTAGCGTTGTCCTCCGTTCCGGTCGGTTGGACCTCGGAGTGTCTAAAAGGGAATGAACATTCCAGGCTGCCAGAGTGAGCGGACTCACCCTGCCAGTCTGGTAACAACGAGTGGGGCGGCGGGAAGGAGGTGGAGAAGAAGATGGCGAAGGAGAAGAATAGGCAGAGGAAGAGGAAGAAGATGTAGGATGAGGAGATCGAGTTGTGATGTTGTTATTGTTGTTGTAAATTCGATTTTGGTTGTTTCGACCGTGAGTTTTACGTCTGCGACCACGGTCAGCCTGCAGACGACGTGGTTCCCTAGCAATTTTTAGGCCAGCTTTTCCAGGCCCCCTCCGAAGAGAAGCAATGCCCCGTCCCTGAATAGGGTTGCTTGATGTGCCGGCGCGGCCGAACTCCACTGTGGGCCACGAGATTGTTTGGCAGTGGAAGAACGACTCGAATTTGCAAATGACTTACGTCATTGCCGTAAGCCTACGGTCTCCTAAGGTGCACGAGATGGGCGCGTGTGAACGATGCCGATTCGAAGAACCATCCCACCGGCTGACCAGCGGCGTACCAGACGGTACTTATTCACAACGGTGCCGACACGGTGTTCCATCCGACCAAACGTCCAGCGGAGTCCGCAGTAACATGTGCAACTGGCAAAACGCGCACCGCAAATAACCGCCCTCACCTGGTTCAGCCCGCCGGTCGAGGAGGTTGCCCGGGGTGTGACCGCTGAGAAGAGCCCAGCTACGTGGAGCCACAGGTGAGATTTTGGTGACAACAAATGAACGCTAGGCGTAGCCTCACCTGCAAGCATTTGAGCGATTACCACGAACGTCACGCGAACCCACCGCTGACACACCTACACCCCTCGCATTTAATACAGTAATATTGTCACCGCTAACAGCGCTGTCTGCACGCGTTGGACAATATCTCGCATTCGGACGTGAGGAGTTGGTGAAACCCGCAGTAAGATCCCCGGTGCGAATTTTATTTAGAATACTCGCTCTCGGATAAGGCT